TATCGATGACATTCTCATCTCCTCCCTCCTCTTCGTCTGATCCCCCTCCTCCTCATCTGTGTATGATCTGAGCCTGACGCATTCTTCCTGTGTCGCGCAAGGCCCCGTCACACCTTGTGATGATGATGATGTATGTTGGGTCTGCATTGCGACATGGATTGGTCTGATCATTAGTATTTCAGTCTTCCGTTGTGCTATCCTGTTCTATGTGAGAGAGGTCTGTTCTTGGTTCTCGTCTGCACCATATCGGTATGCGACATGGTGAGGTTTCAATTGATTTAGAGTGGATGGGGCGACGCCGTTGGCTATGTGTGGGAAGTGCTGCAGGGGGGTTTGGACTCTGGAGAAAGTTAGTGAGAGAGGGGAGGAGGGTAGGGGGGTGGTCGATCGGGCAATGTGATTGAGATTGGAAGTTGAGGGGGGTGGAGAGGAGGGGGAGTGTGGCAGGGAGTGACAATGAGCTTTCTTGCCCGGGTCTGACCTGAGACACGTTGGTACTTAGCAGCTGTTCTTCGGCTTCCGGTCCACACAATATGGTTCTGGTGGTGGGACAGCAGGGCTGCTTCTCTCTTGAGCGGAAAGGAGTCTTGGTTCATCGGGCTACGGTGTGCGCTTATGTCACTTGTAGGGCTGGATCTCTCCGGTGAAGATGGTGCGCATGGGGCGAGCTGGGTGGAAGGGCCACTATTTCCCATGGAGATGGTCTGCGCCGGGCGCGGCTAGTAAGGGTGTCTTCTACACCTGTGAGTGGCACGATGGCGAGAGTTACCGCCCTACTTCGAAATTCGAAGCTGGGAGGGCGCGACATGGCGGCGGCGAGGCGGGACACTGGCGGGGGTGAAATCGCGTTGGCGTGAGCCCTTAGGGCCAAGGCGCAGACGCTAGCACAAATTAACGCAGCTCCGCGTTATCGCGCGAACAGACTGCGCATACGCTCCTTGAAATTATACTATAGTTAATGTAAGTCAGGATCATACCGCACTTTTCTGAGGTGACTTAATGTGACTTGAACCTTGTCTATGTAAAGGACGCTGGACCCGGTTTCCAGCAGGTGCTGCTCCCCACCAATAGATGGAGCCCCCCCCCGATGCTAGTGGTGTCTGCTCTTACCAGCACCACTAGCACTGATGGGTGGTTAAAAAAAAACAAAAAACAAATGGATGTCTTGTCCGAACATACTCAATTAACTATGAAAATCTTTTTGGCTTAGCTACGACTCTCGAGTATTACAAAATACGAAAATGAGAAATAAACCAGAATGAACTGGGTTTCTCGTGCGGATAAACATGACTCTAGAATCTGAACGGATGCTGAGAAAATCGAAAAAGTAGCTTTGTAGTGATTAATGTTTCTCTAGCTAGCGAGCCTATGGCCATTGATTTTTTCCGCCTCGAGTATATTGCAAAAGATGGCTTTGGCTTGAAGATAGAGATCATCAAAATCTCTTTAAAAGGAAAACAGTATTCATAGTGGCTTTTAGTCCACTAGGACAATTTGCTATTATCCCATTGATTCTATTCATACAGGAAACTTGTATCTTTTGTTTACCAATTCTTCATCATCATCACCATCATCATCATCATAAGAAGAAGAAGAAGAAGAAGAAGAAGAAGAAGAAGAAAGCAAGAAAGAAGAAGAAGAGAGCAAGAAGTAGAAGAAGAATATGGACGAAAGGAAGAAAGGAAGAAGTAGACGAAGAATACTCTACACAGTGGACCAGGTTCAGGGTCGGTAATGTTCATGTCTTTTGTCTTGAAGTAATTTTGCACATGTGTAGACAGGGCCCTCTTTTTTCGGGGATATTGCCATCAGGCGCCAGGAGCAACCAGTAGGCGATGGCACTAGACACACATTGGAGTCTGCATCAGTAGTTTGACGTCGTCGGATATGACCAATTTATGATGTTGTGCCTTTCTTCTGCCATCCAGTGTGGCAGTGCCAATTTCGTCTGGTTTGAAAGGCATTCCACGATGCAGACCCCAAATTCGAATTTTACGGTCAAGGTCTCAGGCCAAGGGATGCCAAGTCGGCCAGTTCAGAAAGGTCACAGTCAGGTACCTTAGAAGTCAAAGTCCAATTGGCACACAGTGAACAGTCACATCCCAGAGGCAAAGGTTGCGTTCTATAAGGAAAAGTCACGTCTCATATTGAAGAGTCATATTGAAAAGTCATGTCCCACAGGCAAAGGACACTTCCCCAAGCAAAAGTCGTGTCCCAGAGGCAAGAGTCATATCCCACTGTTATGAACTTGGTTGTCTGACTATTTTCTCGCCACTCACACACAGAGTATCTCACGCATGCCCATACATACACAAGACAAAGGGGAGAGGAGACAGAGTCCACACTGTACACAGACCAGAGATAAGCAGCGGAATAGCAACCATGCACAGATGGGGAGAATACACACAATCGGAATATAACATTGATGATGAGCCAACTCAACTCAATTAACCCCAATTATCGTTACAGAGTTTAACCCAGTGTCTCGCCACCCCAGAACCACACACTCCACCCACTACTCCACTCTCAGGGTCCAACGCTATACTGAAACAGCCTCCCAGAGGCCAGCACCATCCACCAAGATGAAGATCATGAACTGCGATGTAGTCCTCAGTGCCGATGAGTCACTCTGACGAAGAAGGAGGCAGCTATGGCTGCCTAGCCGCTATCGTAGCAGCCGCACCCACATGTACCCCACGAAGAGCCCCGAAATAGCCCTGCCTGGCGCAGATACCCCCAGAGGGTAGATGCGCTGAGACTGGCCCCAGCTATGGCCGTCTCTCAAGGGCTGGCTATGGCTGCCTCACTCAGCTGAAGTCTCAGATGCCGCTGTAGACTTTCAGCGCTGCAAAACTCCCTTGGCCACGAACGCTGTAACGTGAAAATGAAAATGCCAAAAGCCCTGAACCGATGTTCCCAAACTATTTATAGACTCACTAACCTACCCTAGACCTAGACCGGACTGACTGACCGACCGGTACCGTTGCTGTTTCGGCCTTTCGGCCTCTACCGGACCCGGCTATAGGCTATAGGACCGTCTAGCAGTATAGGCCACTTAGGGCGTGTCTGTCCTAGGGGTAGCCCGGGCCTGCTATCGGCAATTAGGGTAGCTGTAGGAAATCGGTTAGTACCGGGCCTGTATTTTCCCGGATTTGTAGATCTGTCCCTCACGAATTTCCACCCAGGCAGGTCTCTCGGTTAGCCCTCAGCCAAACAAAATTACGAATCTAACCTATGGGTTAGTGTACAGCCTCGCAGTCAAGCTCGGCAACAGAAATCAGCAAGTCATTGCACCACAATCAAAAGTCATGTTCCACAAGTGAGCAGTCGTGACTCATAGGCCCAACCAGCAGCACACCAATGAAAATTTGGGAAAGTACCAGGCCTTGACATTGTGAAGCACAGGCTGTGGGCATGTGGTACCAGTACCAAGTCAAACCGGAAGAAGAGGTTGGGACGAGCTGAAGCTCAGTCCAAGTCAATATAAGAACTGGCCAGCCACATTTCAAGCAGATTGCTCATTCGTGAGAAGTGTGGAAGTGTTGCTGAAGCGCTTGTGTGCTATCTGCTAATAGCATGCGCGCGAGAGCCCTGCTGGGCAGCGCCGCACTGAGAGGGAAGGCGCATAGCTAGTGATAGGAGGTAGAGCTGAGTAGTGACAAATGTATTCAGAGTCTAGATTCTCAAGTAGAGAGAGAGGAAGAGAGAGCGCATGCATGAGCAATACCAGGAGAGAGAGAGAGAGAGAGAGAGAGAGAGAGAGAGAGAGAGAGAGAGAGAGAGAGAGAGAGAGAGAGAGAGAGAGAGAGAGAGAGAGAGANAGAGAGAGAGAGAGAGAGAGAGAGAGAGAGAGAGAGAGAGAGAGAGAGAGAGAGAGAGAGGAAGATAGAGAGGAAGACAAAGAAGGAGAGAAGAGAGTCACCCACCTTTGATGAGGATGTTGGTATTGAGTTGTTGTATTCTACGTTGTTGAGTGCTTGATGACCGGATCTTTAAAATTGTTTAATGTGATAATTTGTTGGAATTTCGAAGTTGTGCATACGTGGACTTTACATCTCTGGACTCCATTGTGGATTTCGTGTGATCTCTCAATGTACGTGTGTGCGCTCATGGTGTCGAGCAGTGAGGCTCAATGCAATTGATATCGGAGCAGGTAACTCGCTGCGTCCGTTGGTGATGAACGATGGCATGATTAAGGCCGGCGAGTGGAGGCTGGGAGTTTGACATAGGAGCTGTAGGCTGAAGAAGAAGTGGCTATTTTGGGGATGGTGATTACGTACCTGCATGCGTGGAGCGTTGAGGAGCTTCATCGAAGTAACGTTCATGAGTGAACTGCATCACCCCCCTAAGCCTTGTACTTGTTTTAATGAATGAATGAATGTCTTAGTACCTTCCCACATCTTGGTGTTGCTGCTGCTGGACAAAACATTTGGTGACAGTCTGATTTTGTCTTGAGTCAGCATTTGGTCAGACATATGTGTATGAAGTAGGTCGTGTCTAGGCTAGAAGCTCGGCAACTGGATGTATCACCCGTAAAGTACGGAGCATGGGCATGAGTGGCAAGCGCTCGTAAAACAACTCGTCTAGCCCTAAGACCGATACTGACCGACATGCGACTGAAGCGGAGTTGACACAGTGAAGAGCTATAAGTCTTGAGAGCGAACCTTCAGATCTTGGTGGGAATGATGTCCTATCTGCGTCGTTAAATAATTCCTGAGGTCCTTGCTGGCTTACCTTAAAATTGCTGGTTGCCCACCAGCCTGACAGGGTAGTTGTAGTGACACTGTGGGGAGGGAAGAAGTAGACAAGTCAGACTCCAACCTCGAGTCGAAAGATTAAGTGTTGAGGGTTAAGTCTGCGTGGTGAGGAGGTGGAGGATACATACCTGTGCCTTCCATAGCCATGGATGACTACCCAATGTTCGCAATGTTTACCTTGTCTGTGCTATGGGGTCCACTCGTCCGTTTTTTATTTCCTTTAGGATTGCACCGGACATGCAGCATGGGAGTGACCATGAGGTTTGGTGGGACCACACTGCTATATACTACAGATCGGCAGGCAAAGATTGATAGGAAGTTGGCCGAGAAAAAGAAAGAGAAGGAAGAAAAAAAGACAAAGGAGGAGGAAGAAGTTAAGAAGAAAATGGAGGAGGAGAAGAAAAAGATGGAGAAGGAGATGAAGACGAGAGAAGAAGAGTTGAAGGAGTTAGAAGAGGAAGAAGAGGCAGAAGAGGAAGGAAGATTGGAGAGAAGACAAGCACAACCAGAAGGAGAAGAAGTGGCGGAGAGAAGCCATGCTGCGGAGTTGAGACTCCAGCAGGTTGAGGACTTGAACTGGGTGGAGAAATTTGGATACCGGACAAAACTTCCTGACGAGACAGACAAAGAGAGGGATTATTTTATAGCGAAGTTGGCAGCAACAAAAAATCAAGAGGAAAGAAAGTTGCTGATTGAGGAGAAAAAAGGGGAACTCAATCAAAAGTTGTTGGCCGCAAGAAGAAAAAAGTTTGAAGAGAAGAAAAAATTGAAGGAGGAGGGGAGAGACTCCAGGCATTGTTAAAAGATCAGAAAGGAAAGTGAGTAGAAATCGAGGAACACCGGGGCCTTCTTACTGACACTTCGCTACACACCACCCAAAATTCTTTGCACTTCAACGAACCGCTGGAAAGATAGAACAACAACAAGAAGAGTTTAAGGGTATCTGGAATAACTACCTCAGTGCGTCATCCAGCGAACTGCACCATAGGGTCCTACAGTATGCACACCAATTAGACGATATCTTCACTCAGAAATTGACTAACACCATCGTTGCAGTTAAGACAGGTGGCGGTGGCGGGGTTGGAGATGGTGGCGATGGTGGGGATGACGACAAAAAAGGAAAAGATCGTAGTAAGGATGATGGAAGGAAAGAAGGAGATAGGTCTGAGGGAGGAGAACGAAGGGAGAAGATGAAGGTAAAACTCCCTTGGACATACACTAGAAAAAGGAGGAGAGCATTTTTCATTGGGAGGCGGCGATGGACACGTATGCACAATTGATTCCGTATTGGGACTGTGTATTAATGGCAAGTTCATGCCTAGGGGGAGACGCAAATAGCTTTGTTGTCTCGGTAGTGAAGGAGGCAGGCTGTACGTCGATGGTGCAGTACTCACAACGCACTAGGATAGAGGACTTCTTCAGGGCCTGGAAAGACCGGTTCGAAGACAAGAACTTAGCCCGCCGTACTGAGTCCCTCACCCTCAACATTAGTGACCGCAAGTGGAAGAGTGCGTCGACACTCAAGGCCACTATAGACGACCTGCTGCAATGTCCAGAACACAGACTAACCCCCACTCAGATGTTGAACTATTTCGCTAGCGCATTGTCAGAACTCCTTAAGACCCAGTTATATCCCCGTACTAAAGAGGGGGGGATGACTTAGGAAAAGTTTAGTAAGATTGTTGTTGACCATGCCGGCTTCTTGCAGGAGGCAAACTATTGAGGAAGGAGATGTAGAGTCCTTACCGTACGACCAAATAGATTATGGTCTAGAAGAAGAGATCAACAACCAAGTAGCCCGGGGAGAGGACTATGCAGTAGTTGCAGCCCGTGTTGGAGGGCGACAAGGTAGAGGCCAAGGTAGAGGAGGCCGGGACCGAGGATGAGGGGGAGGACGAGTACCCCCTGCCCAGAGAGGTGGTGGCGAAGGTAGCTACGACGTGGGAGGTAGGGGTTATGGTCCCTCGCAAGGTGGTAGAGGTTCTCCTTTCACAGGGGGTAGAGGTAGAGGTAGATATTGGCAACCGTATCCAGAGCACTCAGGAACAACTGGAGGCAAATCTTGGGTGGAAATGGGAATAGACGAAAAGGTATGGGATGATTGTCGCAAGGCCGGGCAATGTTTCAAGTATGGTGACCCCGACCACGTAGTTTTTTTTTGTCCCGAGTATCGGTACCCAAAAGGTAATCGCCAGTAGAGGTTGTAGTCGCTTCTACGGGGACTTCAGACTTAGACAGGAAGATAGAAGCGCGCGTTGAGAAGGCACCCTCCTGTCTAAAGATCCCGATGGCAGAGACTGTTGTAGGCCTCCACCTAGCTAGTTGTCCAGAGGTTGCTTGTGCTAGGACCTCTCTAGGTGGTTCCCTCACAAGCATTGGTGATGAACTGGTCATTTGTCGCCGCGCTTGGGCCAAAATGAAGAAGAAGTCGAAGGGGCAACTAATAATACCCTTTGTTGTATGGGTGGCCCCTCGTTCGCCAGACATGTGGTAAAAAATGACCCTGTTGAACAAGTGTTTGTTGCTTATGTGAGGCCGGAAAGTGAAGGTAAAAAGGAAAAAGTGCCTATACCACCCAATGTGGAGAATCTGTTAGATGAGTTCGCTGATGTGGGGAGGCCCCAAGTGGAGTTGTGGAGAGGGAGACCAAGCACCGGATAGACATAGAACCCAGTAGTTGGATCTGAAACGGTATTCACCAGTTCGCAGTAGCTGATCCAGTTCCCAGGGCTCGATCCCTAGTTCCCCATCTTACCTGTGTACAGTACCGGCGTCAACCCGTAGATTTGAACCTGCTACCTATAGGACCGCCAGTGGTAGGTAGTTCTTCGTAGGTCACAGGGTAGAAGGAATTCGAACTGTAGACATGTAGGGTGGGAGTCTAGACTGTTTAGAGGTCGTAGCTGTAGACTCCCTGAAGGGTCAAGGTCATAGGTGCTACTTACCTGAAAGGGCAAAGTCGTAGCTGCTACAGTACCGAAAGGCCAAGTTAGAGGTTTCTAGAAGTGGCCTTCGGAGTGAGCCTGCGTTAAGCAGAGGCAAGTGGTCAAGTGGTGGTAGTCCACCTAGTACAGTCAGCAGTCCCAGTCCACCCAGTCCGGTCCAGTCCAGCAAGTACCGTCTGGGACTGTGTGCACGATGGGCCAAGGGTACAGGGCAGACCAACACAGCAAAGAAGTATAAATCAAGAGGCTGCGCCCAACCATTCATTCATTCATGCGGAAGCCATGCTGCTCCAACGTCTTGTGCAAGGAGGTCTGCTGGAAGGCCCGAAGACGAAGTGGGCGAGAGTGAAGCAGGGTAGCCATAGTGATAGGTAGCGACAACCATAGCTGCCATAGCTTAGTGTAGGGTGTAGAGTGTGTGTACTGTGTGTGTGTTCTGAGTGTCACGTGTGGGACATCCAGGGTGATCCAAAGTGTGAACAGTGAGTTGTTTGAGCCACACAGTCGCCATAGCCAGTGGAAGCGAACTGTTACGTGGAAGCCATATCTCTGAGTTCTGTGTGGGCGCATGGCGCCAGTTTGTTGTTCTGCTATTCACGTGCATGAAAAGTGTGAATAAGTCGAGTCTGATTGCACTGGTATCGGAGCTGGTACCCGCTGTTCCGCGCGCCGTCGTGCGCAGGCTGATGCGCCATAGCTGAGGTGGCGAGCGAAGGAGGCAGTCCGCCATAGCGGACCTCGAGGTGGAAGAAGCCGCCGCGCACCTGCATCAAGAAGACCGAGAGAGAGAGAGAGAGAGAGAGAGAGAGAGAGAGAGAGAGAGAGAGAGAGAGAGAGAGAGAGAGAGAGA